CAACAACTTACTCCATGTGCAGTCACTTTGTTGTGTTCCTGCTCCAGAGGCTACCCCTTTTCCAACTGGACAGGCAGTGCAGGTATCAGCTGTGTTTGCTGCAGCACTCCATTCATCTGCCGGACAGGCTGCACAGCCAGTTGACTGATCCAGATACTGGCCCGCAACACAATCTTCTGCAAGTATAGTCGAGTTTAGTCAAGTATTAGTTGCAAGTTTCAGCCGCAGGCAAGCAGCTTAAGATTGGAAGTACCCTTTTAGGGATGGTTCGCTTTTATTTGAATATTGGATAAGTGTCAAAGTGTGTGCGGGTGGTGTTCACGTACAATAGTTGCATTTCATTCACAGGAATTCCTTTCGAGCATCGGTGATGGGACCTCATAAACGTATAGTAATACCAATTATTGTACAAATACTAAACTTTGCTTGTTGACGTCAGTATTTCAGTCTATGTTTATTCGCACACATTATTGCATTTCTAAGATTAACCCTTAAACAGCGAAGAGCACTCCATGTGGAGTGCCACTCCAATGTTTTGCCATTTGTGTTCCACATGTATTAGCAATAAGCAATACCGGTGATACGCCAGCTATCTATCGGCAAGAACACTACCTATCGCCTAAACTATCTGTTTTTTACAAAAATTATTATTTAACATAGTTATGGTTAATTATTAGTTAAAAAAAGGCCAAAAATTGCATTAAATATGTCTAGCGGAGAACCGTCCAGTTGGACGACTAGGTATATGTTACTTTAAAGTGATCTGATTGGTAAGTAAACACCACGTGGACAGCGGATCACATGTCATGTCACAAAGCGCATTGCAATCCAATCGGAGGAGCTTCAAATAACTCAATTATTGAGTTGCACCTTTGAGCTAATGCTCGCTAGTATAAAAACCAATGAGAGCGCACGATTCTCTCTTGTGACTGATATTAACGAATCACGAAACCGAATCAAAATATTCGGTAATTTGTCATCGATGATTTATGCTTTGCTCCTGTATTTGTCTTCCTATAAAGAAACCCGGCTACTGTGATTGTGATATCGGCCGCTCTTCTTCATTGTTCTTCAGTGTGATTTGCATTCATAGCTGGCATAATTTCGGCAGATGCTCTCATTTGATAGTTTGATGTCGTTTTTTGCAAAATTGCGAATCCCCACTTCGTAGCCAACAAAAAGATTCTTACATTTGAAACAACTGTATTGTGCAATCAATTTAAAATACATTTTGTGTTTCAGAGTTGCAGCTCAGCACTTATATTCTCCTTTATGGACAAGGAAGTTGGTATTCTATTGAAATAGTACAGCTACAGCTAAGTTCAAATCGACAGTAAAAATAATCCATTTATTTTGTGTGTTGCAATCTATTCAATTACGTTCAAAGCTGATACTTTGACAAACTTTTCTCATTACGTACGTGTGAACATCAAGAATATAGTTATTAAACCAGTGCTATTTAATTTTAAAGGAGTAACAGAAGACGATAACAAAGAGAAGCCGCAGAATGCAGATCGGAAAGCTGTACGACCTCACTAAGTACGGAACTGATTTGATGGATCAGAGGATAGGGTTAGTTTAATTGTCACTAAAATTCCTATTAAAAAAGTACTATGTGTATTATGTGTAGTATTACTCGAGTAGTACTAATAATAATAATATCTGAACATTTTAGAAATATTTCACAAAATGAACAAATGTTCTTGTTTCAGTCGATACAGTACCAAGGTGAAATCCAACAAGTGGAAACACTGCGTGTGGTATTACATTCTGGACACCACAAGGGTGAACATCCACACTGTCGTCCAACTAAGCAATCCATCAGAGTGGACTCATTCAGGTGGAATAAGTGCTATCTCTCATGAAGCCTTGGCTAATAGAAAAGCCCATCATTGGACTGTTAGAGCACATGTCCTGACAGCAGCATTCAACATAACGGGGAATCCTAAATTTCGGAGGACAGCTGAAGTCCCAAACAGCATGATTAGTTTCCCCAAGAAAGTTGAAAGCAAGAAGCAGTGTCGTGACTGCCTCTCGAACTGTAAGGGGAAAGACTATAAAAAACAGCAAAAAGGTTTCAGCTGTTTATAGCATGTGTGAACTGTGTGGTGATAGGATTTGCCATAAACATCACATGGTGCAGAATGTGCATCTCCTCTTGCTTTATGAAACTTGCTAATGAATCACAATCCTGGTTGTGCAAACTGTTTAAAATCTTCAACCCGTGAATTAGGGTCTTTTGAATTTATCCATGTTTAACAATCAAGTTTTCTTTGCAAAAACTGACAGAAATGGGCTACAATTATTACAAAAATTCGGCAAATAAATCCATGTATTACTATTGACACAACCAGGGTTGCGAAATATGTTTACTAGTTTATTATTTATTTTATCATTGAGATTCTTTGAAATTATGATCGCTTGTTTTTGTAGCATATAATGTTGTTTTGTTTCTTATCAAGTTATCAGTCAAAATTAACGCAGTTATAAATATCGTGTGCACGATCCATTATTGCTGCATATTTCTAAATTTCAAACTGTGATGAAATGAGCCGATTATAAAATGATAGGACGAAATTGTTGCCGTTGATTTAGCCTGTGGCATATTCACAACATTTATTTTCTAAGATACCAGGAAAAAGTTATTTTATTTTTCAAACCTCACAGCCTCATGGCTAAAATAAGACCAAGCTCTGCAATAAAGCAAAAAGAAAGAATGGAGCTTTGTACCTCAATTCTCGATACTAAATTTCCCTCGCCTTGGTTATGGTAGAGTATGTTTGCGCTAAATGAAATTAGTTAGCGCTAGTTTTAGATGGGTGCGCTATTCTATTCTCCATATATAGTTAGCGGTAGCTACCAGTACCACAAACTGTCAAAATTGAACCTGGGATTTTGCGATATTTATCGTTAGCTAACCCGAACCGGCGTTAGTGAGCGCTTCGTCAGTAAATTAGAAGGTGCTAGTTAGTGCTATCATTAGCGTTAGCTAGCTCAACGTAACAGTATAGTAAGTAAGTTGTGGCAGTAGAAAGTAAATAGCAATAAGCAAGTAAATTATTATTGCAGCCATACTCATAGTTAAATGAAGCACAGTAGTGCCGTTACCGTAAGCGCTATAACTAGCGCAAGTCATGCTAATTTACAGTTACACTTCCTTCTGCTAGCGCTAATGAGCGTCAAGCGCCGGCTACTGCTTATACTGCTAGTGCTAGCGGCAGCACTGATGAGCGTCAAGCGCCGGCTACTGCTACTGCCAGCAGCAGCGCTAATGAGCGTCAAGCGCCGGCTAGTGCTACTGCTAGCGGCAGCGCTAATGAGCGTCAAGCGCCGGCTACTGCTACCATGCTAGCGGCAGCGCTAATGAGCGTCAAGCGCCGGCTACTGCTACTGCTAGCGGCAGCGGTAATGATCGTCAAGTGCCGGCTACTGCTACTGCTAGCGCCAACGGGCGTCGGGCGCCGGCTACTGCTGCTGCTAGCGCTAACGAGCGCCGGCTACTGCTACTGCTAGCGCTAACGAGCATCGGGCGCCAGCTACTGCTACTGATAGCGCTAACGAGCGTCGGGCGCCGGCTACTGCTAATGCTAGTGCAAAGAGCGCTGGCTGCTGCTAGCGCCAACGAGCACTGGCTGCTGCAACTGCTAGTGCTAGCACAAAGAGCGCTGGCTGCTGCTACTGTTAGCGCTAACGAGCGCTGGCTGCTACTATGTACTACTGCTAGCGCTGGCTGCTGCCACTGCTACTGCTAGCCCTAGCCATTTTGCTTTGTTGTTACCACTACACTTTTAGTATTACTATTACAAAAAACAAATCATTCATTGAAATGATGATAACAATGAGAATAAATTGATGACGATAATTCACCAAAATATTTTTACTGAACACTTTTGTCATCCTGTGTTTCAATTTGTAAAACAGTATAAATTCAATTTTTGGATACTGCGAGTCCAGCTGCAAGCTGACGGTACGCCTGTGTGTGACTAGGCAAAGATTTTTCATTTTACCGATAGCGAAGGTAAATTTCGGTAAGCAAAATGAAAAGTTAGTCACTGTAAGGCTTTTTCAGCTTCATTAATGAACCTTTAGGATAAACAAGCTGTATATTCAAGCTTTGAAAAGGGGAAACAAAACTTTTTTAAATAAAAAACCTCGTATTTTTATTACCTAATTTGACAGTTTTAGTCAAAATATAAATTCATAATCATAGTTCCAATAAAATCATAGTCATAGATCAAGATATGATTTACGGAGACATGAACATAAATATACAAAGTTGATGTCTTATATGCCTGTTGCTAGTGACTTTACTGAAATGTTTCTCCAACTGACCAACGTATGTTGTGTTTTCTTTCACCTTGGTTATACTTAATATACGGAGATTTGTCACAATTTTATCAACAAACATTACACCAGTGTCACCTAGAACATACTACACAGAATACACAGTTATATGAGTAACATGCTTATCACGTTAACACAGCTTAACTTTAAAGTACACCGTGCCAAGGCCCTGATGTTTAGTACACTTTTGACACATATCGAATCTTCAAATATAAAGTAAAACCGATGAAAGACTAATTTTTATTTCAAGATGGTCACTTTCTAGGATTCCAAATTGTAACTACACAGCTAGATTTAAATTTATCCGAGCCAACCTTAGAAAAGTGTAATAGCTTACACGGGCATAATTGAGTTATTGATACTAAAGTAGCTCTACTTTTGCAGGATATAATGATGATCTAATTTTATGAACAGTGCCCATGCCTTATGTATTAGCGGGAAAATTATTACGTTATTTCATGACACGGGACCAAAAATCTTACCACGTGACCCAAAGGATCGATATCCAAATTGTATGTCACATGGGGGCCGTCCATATGGAGTGCTCTTCGCCGTTAACAAGCACATATTTGCTTCGCTGTTTAAGGGTTAACATAAATTCCAGGATGAACCCCTTCGGTCCCTCCAATTTTTAGGAAACAACAACTTACTCCATGTGCAGTCACTTTGTTGTGTTCCTGCTCCAGAGGCTACCCCTTTGCCAGCTGGACAGGCAGTGCAGGTATCAGCTGTGTTTGCTGCAGCACTCCATTCATCTGCCGGACAGGCTGCACAGCCAGTTGACTGATCCAGATACTGGCCCGCAACACAATCTTCTGCAAGTATAGTCGAGTTTAGTCAAGTATTAGTTGCAAGTTTCAGCCGCAGGCAAGCAGCTTAAGATTCTTTTAGGGATGGTTCGCTTTTATTTGAATATTGGATAAGCGTCAAAGTGTGTGCGGGTGGTGTTCACATACAATAGTTGCATTTCATTCACAGGAATTCCTTTCGAGCTTCGGTGATGGGACTTCATAAACATATAGTAATACCGATTATTGTACAAATACTAATCTTTGGTTGTTGACGTCAGTATTTCAGTCTATGTTTATTCGCACACATTATTGCATTTCTAAGATTAACATAAATTTCAGGATGAACCCCTTCGGTCCCTCCAATTTTTAGGAAACAACAACTTACTCCATGTGCAGTCACTTTGTTGTGTTCCTGCTCCAGAGGCTACCCCTTTGCCAGCTGGACAGGCAGTGCAGGTATCAGCTGTGTTTGCTGCAGCACTCCATTCATCTGCCGGACAGGCTGCACAGCCATTTGTCTGATCCAGATACTGGCCCGCAACACAATCTTCTGCAAGTATAGTCGAGTTTAGTCAAGTATTAGTTGCAAGTTTCAGCCGCAGGCAAGCAGCTTAAGATTCGAAGTACCCTTTTAGGGATGGTTCGCTTTTATTTGAATATTGGATAAGTGTCAAAGTGTGTGCGGGTGGTGTTCACATACAATAGTTGCATTTCATTCACAGGAATTCCTTTCGAGCATCGGTGATGGGACCTCATAAACGTATAGTAATACCAATTATTGTACAAATACAAAACTTTGCTTGTTGACGTCAGTATTTCAGTCTATGTTTATTCGCACACATTATTGCATTTCTAAGATTAACATAAATTTCAGGATGAACCCCTTCGGTCCCTCCAATTTTTAGGAAACAACAACTTACTCCATGTGCAGTCACTTTCTTGTGTTCCTGCTCCAGAGGCTACCCCTTTGTCAGCTGGACATGCAGTGCAGGTAGCAGCTGTGTTTGCTGCAGCACTCCATTGATCTGCCGGACAGGGTCCACAGCCAGTTGACTGATCCAGATACTGGCCCGCAACACAATCTTCTGCAAGTATAGTCGAGTTTAGTCAAGTATTAGACTGCAAGTTTCAGCCGCAGGCAAGCAGCTTAAGATTCGAAGTACCCTTTTAGGGATGGTTCGCTTTTATTTGAATATTGGATAAGTGTCAAAGTGTGTGCGGGTGGTGTTCACATACAATAGTTGCATTTCATTCACAGGAATTCCTTTCGAGCATCTGTGATGGGACCTCTTAAACGTATAGTAATACCAATTATTGTACAAATACTAAATTTTGCTTGTTGACTTCAGTATTTCAGTCTATGTTTATTCGCACACATTATTGCATTTCTAAGATTACCATAAATTTCAGGATGAACCCCTTCGGTCCCTCCAATTTTTAGGAAACAACAACTTACTCCATGTGCAGTCACTTTCTTGTGTTCCTGCTCCAGAGGCTACCCCTTTGTCAGCTGGACAGGCAGTGCAGGTAGCAGCTGTGTTTGCTGCAGCACTCCATTCATCTGCCGGACAGGCTGCACAGCCATTTGTCTGATCCAGATACTGGCCCGCAACACAATCTTCTGCAAGTATAGTCGAGTTTAGTCAAGTATTATAGACTGCAAGTTTCAGCCGCTGGCAAGCAGCTTAAGATTCGAAGTACCCTTTTAGGGATGGTTCGCTTTTATTTGAATATTGGATAAGTGTCAAAGTGTGTGCGGGTGGTGTTCACATACAATAGTTGCATTTCATTCACAGGAATTCCTTTCGAGCATCTGTGATGGGACCTCATAAACGTATAGTAATACCAATTATTGTACAAATACTAAACTTTGCTTGTTGACGTCAGTATTTCAGTCTATGTTTATTCGCACACATTATTGCATTTCTAAGATTAACATAAATTTCAGGATGAACCCCTTCGGTCCCTCCAATTTTTAGGAAACAACAACTTACTCCATGTGCAGTCACTTTCTTGTGTTCCTGATCCAGAGGCTACCTCTTTGTCAGCTGGACATGCCGTGCAGGTAGAAGCTGCGTTTGCTGCTAAACTCCATTGATCTGCCGGACAGGCTTGACAGCCACTTGACTGATCCAGATACTGGCCCGCAACACAATCTTCTGCAAGTATAGTCGAGTTTAGTCAAGTATTAGACTGCAAGTTTCAGCCGCTGGCAAGCAGCTTAAGATTCGAAGTACCCTTTTAGGGATGGTTCGCTTTTATTTGAATATTGGATAAGTGTCAAAGTGTGTGCGGGTGGTGTTCACATACAATAGTTGCATTTCATTCACAGGAATTCCTTTCGAGCATCTGTGATGGGACCTCATAAACGTATAGTAATACCAATTATTGTACAAATACTAAACTTTGCTTGTTGACGTCAGTATTTCAGTCTATGTTTATTCGCACACATTATTGCATTTCTAAGATTAACATAAATTTCAGGATGAACCCCTTCGGTCCCTCCAATTTTTAGGAAACAACAACTTACTCCATGTGCAGTCACTTTCTTGTGTTCCTGCTCCAGAGGCTACCTCTTTGTCAGCTGGACATGCCGTGCAGGTAGAAGCTGCGTTTGCTGCTAAACTCCATTGATCTGCCGGACAGGCTTGACAGCCACTTGACTGATCCAGATACTGGCCCGCAACACAATCTTCTGCAAGTATAGTCGAGTTTAGTCAAGTATTATAGACTGCAAGTTTCAGCCGCTGGCAAGCAGCTTAAGATTCGAAGTACCCTTTTAGGGATGGTTCGCTTTTATTTGAATATTGGATAAGTGTCAAAGTGTGTGCGGGTGGTGTTCACATACAATAGTTGCATTTCATTCACAGGAATTCCTTTCGAGCATCTGTGATGGGACCTCATAAACGTATAGTAATACCAATTATTGTACAAATACTAAACTTTGCTTGTTGACGTCAGTATTTCAGTCTATGTTTATTCGCACACATTATTGCATTTCTAAGATTAACATAAATTTCAGGATGAACCCCTTCGGTCCCTCCAATTTTTAGGAAACAACAACTTACTCCATGTGCAGTCACTTTCTTGTGTTCCTGATCCAGAGGCTACCTCTTTGTCAGCTGGACATGCCGTGCAGGTAGAAGCTGCGTTTGCTGCTAGCACTCCATTGATCTGCCGGACAGGCTTGACAGCCACTTGACTGATCCAGATACTGGCCCGCAACACAATCTTCTGCAAGTATAGTCGAGTTTAGTCAAGTATTTAGACTGCAAGTTTCAGCCGCTGGCAAGCAGCTTAAGATTCGAAGTACCCTTTTAGGGATGGTTCGCTTTTATTTGAATATTGGATAAGTGTCAAAGTGTGTGCGGGTGGTGTTCACATACAATAGTTGCATTTCATTCACAGGAATTCCTTTCGAGCATCTGTGATGGGACCTCATAAACGTATAGTAATACCAATTATTGTACAAATACTAAACTTTGCTTGTTGACGTCAGTATTTCAGTCTATGTTTATTCGCACACATTATTGCATTTCTAAGATTAACATAAATTTCAGGATGAACCCCTTCGGTCCCTCCAATTTTTAGGAAACAACAACTTACTCCATGTGCAGTCACTTTCTTGTGTTCCTGCTCCAGAGGCTACCTCTTTGTCAGCTGGACATGCCGTGCAGGTAGAAGCTGCGTTTGCTGCTAGCACTCCATTGATCTGCCGGACAGGCTTGCACAGCCACTTGACTGATCCAGATACTGGCCCGCAACACAATCTTCTGCAAGTATAGTCGAGTTTAGTCAAGTATTATAGACTGCAAGTTTCAGCCGCTGGCAAGCAGCTTAAGATTCGAAGTACCCTTTTAGGGATGGTTCGCTTTTATTTGAATATTGGATAAGTGTCAAAGTGTGTGCGGGTGGTGTTCACATACAATAGTTGCATTTCATTCACAGGAATTCCTTTCGAGCATCTGTGATGGGACCTCATAAACGTATAGTAATACCAATTATTGTACAAATACTAAACTTTGCTTGTTGACGTCAGTATTTCAGTCTATGTTTATTCGCACACATTATTGCATTTCTAAGATTAACATAAATTTCAGGATGAACCCCTTCGGTCCCTCCAATTTTTAGGAAACAACAACTTACTCCATGTGCAGTCACTTTCTTGTGTTCCTGATCCAGAGGCTACCTCTTTGTCAGCTGGACATGCCGTGCAGGTAGAAGCTGCGTTTGCTGCTAAACTCCATTGATCTGCCGGACAGGCTTGACAGCCACTTGACTGATCCAGATACTGGCCCGCAACACAATCTTCTGCAAGTATAGTCGAGTTTAGTCAAGTATTATAGAACTGCAAGTTTCAGCCGCTGGCAAGCAGCTTAAGATTCGAAGTACCCTTTTAGGGATGGTTCGCTTTTATTTGAATATTGGATAAGTGTCAAAGTGTGTGCGGGTGGTGTTCACATACAATAGTTGCATTTCATTCACAGGAATTCCTTTCGAGCATCTGTGATGGGACCTCATAAACGTATAGTAATACCAATTATTGTACAAATACTAAACTTTGCTTGTTGACGTCAGTATTTCAGTCTATGTTTATTCGCACACATTATTGCATTTCTAAGATTAACATAAATTTCAGGATGAACCCCTTCGGTCCCTCCAATTTTTAGGAAACAACAACTTACTCCATGTGCAGTCACTTTCTTGTGTTCCTGCTCCAGAGGCTACCTCTTTGTCAGCTGGACATGCAGTGCAGGTAGAAGCTGAGTTTGCTGCAGCACTCCATTGATCTGCCGGACAGGCTGCACAGCCAGTTGACTGATCCAGATACTGGCCCGCAACACAATCTTCTGCAAGTATAGTCGAGTTTAGTCAAGTATTAGTTGCAAGTTTCAGCCGCTGGCAAGCAGCTTAAGATTCGAAGTACCCTTTTAGGGATGGTTCGCTTTTATTTGAATATTGGATAAGTGTCAAAGTGTGTGCGGGTGGTGTTCACATACAATAGTTGCATTTCATTCACAGGAATTCCTTTCGAGCATCTGTGATGGGACCTCATAAACGTATAGTAATACCAATTATTGTACAAATACTAAACTTTGCTTGTTGACGTCAGTATTTCAGTCTATGTTTATTCGCACACATTATTGCATTTCTAAGATTAACATAAATTTCAGGATGAACCCCTTCGGTCCCTCCAATTTTTAGGAAACAACAACTTACTCCATGTGCAGTCACTTTCTTGTGTTCCTGATCCAGAGGCTACCTCTTTGTCAGCTGGACATGCCGTGCAGGTAGAAGCTGCGTTTGCTGCTAAACTCCATTGATCTGCCGGACAGGCTTGACAGCCACTTGACTGATCCAGATACTGGCCCGCAACACAATCTTCTGCAAGTATAGTCGAGTTTAGTCAAGTATTATAGACTGCAAGTTTCAGCCGCTGGCAAGCAGCTTAAGATTCGAAGTACCCTTTTAGGGATGGTTCGCTTTTATTTGAATATTGGATAAGTGTCAAAGTGTGTGCGGGTGGTGTTCACATACAATAGTTGCATTTCATTCACAGGAATTCCTTTCGAGCATCTGTGATGGGACCTCATAAACGTATAGTAATACCAATTATTGTACAAATACTAAACTTTGCTTGTTGACGTCAGTATTTCAGTCTATGTTTATTCGCACACATTATTGCATTTCTAAGATTAACATAAATTTCAGGATGAACCCCTTCGGTCCCTCCAATTTTTAGGAAACAACAACTTACTCCATGTGCAGTCACTTTCTTGTGTTCCTGCTCCAGAGGCTACCTCTTTGTCAGCTGGACATGCCGTGCAGGTAGAAGCTGCGTTTGCTGCTACACTCCATTGATCTGCCGGACAGGGTTCACAGCCAGTTGACTGATCCAGATACTGGCCCGCAACACAATCTTCTGCAAGTATAGTCGAGTTTAGTCAAGTATTATAGACTGCAAGTTTCAGCCGCTGGCAAGCAGCTTAAGATTCGAAGTACCCTTTTAGGGATGGTTCGCTTTTATTTGAATATTGGATAAGTGTCAAAGTGTGTGCGGGTGGTGTTCACATACAATAGTTGCATTTCATTCACAGGAATTCCTTTCGAGCATCTGTGATGGGACCTCATAAACGTATAGTAATACCAATTATTGTACAAATACTAAACTTTGCTTGTTGACGTCAGTATTTCAGTCTATGTTTATTCGCACACATTATTGCATTTCTAAGATTAACATAAATTTCAGGATGAACCCCTTCGGTCCCTCCAATTTTTAGGAAACAACAACTTACTCCATGTGCAGTCACTTTCTTGTGTTCCTGATCCAGAGGCTACCTCTTTGTCAGCTGGACATGCCGTGCAGGTAGAAGCTGCGTTTGCTGCTAAACTCCATTGATCTGCCGGACAGGCTTGACAGCCACTTGACTGATCCAGATACTGGCCCGCAACACAATCTTCTGCAAGTATAGTCGAGTTTAGTCAAGTATTATAGAACTGCAAGTTTCAGCCGCTGGCAAGCAGCTTAAGATTCGAAGTACCCTTTTAGGGATGGTTCGCTTTTATTTGAATATTGGATAAGTGTCAAAGTGTGTGCGGGTGGTGTTCACATACAATAGTTGCATTTCATTCACAGGAATTCCTTTCGAGCATCTGTGATGGGACCTCATAAACGTATAGTAATACCAATTATTGTACAAATACTAAACTTTGCTTGTTGACGTCAGTATTTCAGTCTATGTTTATTCGCACACATTATTGCATTTCTAAGATTAACATAAATTTCAGGATGAACCCCTTCGGTCCCTCCAATTTTTAGGAAACAACAACTTACTCCATGTGCAGTCACTTTCTTGTGTTCCTGATCCAGAGGCTACCTCTTTGTCAGCTGGACATGCCGTGCAGGTAGAAGCTGCGTTTGCTGCTAAACTCCATTGATCTGCCGGACAGGCTTGACAGCCACTTGACTGATCCAGATACTGGCCCGCAACACAATCTTCTGCAAGTATAGTCGAGTTTAGTCAAGTATTATAGAACTGCAAGTTTCAGCCGCTGGCAAGCAGTTTAAGATTCGAAGTACCCTTTTAGGGATGGTTCGCTTTTATTTGAATATTGGATAAGTGTCAAAGTGTGTGCGGGTGGTGTTCACATACAATAGTTGCATTTCATTCACAGGAATTCCTTTCGAGCATCTGTGATGGGACCTCATAAACGTATAGTAATACCAATTATTGTACAAATACTAAACTTTGCTTGTTGACGTCAGTATTTCAGTCTATGTTTATTCGCACACATTATTGCATTTCTAAGATTAACATAAATTTCAGGATGAACCCCTTCGGTCCCTCCAATTTTTAGGAAACAACAACTTACTCCATGTGCAGTCACTTTCTTGTGTTCCTGATCCAGAGGCTACCTCTTTGTCAGCTGGACATGCCGTGCAGGTAGAAGCTGCGTTTGCTGCTAAACTCCATTGATCTGCCGGACAGGCTTGACAGCCACTTGACTGATCCAGATACTGGCCCGCAACACAATCTTCTGCAAGTATAGTCGAGTTTAGTCAAGTATTATAGAACTGCAAGTTTCAGCCGCTGGCAAGCAGCTTAAGATTCGAAGTACCCTTTTAGGGATGGTTCGCTTTTATTTGAATATTGGATAAGTGTCAAAGTGTGTGCGGGTGGTGTTCACATACAATAGTTGCATTTCATTCACAGGAATTCCTTTCGAGCATCTGTGATGGGACCTCATAAACGTATAGTAATACCAATTATTGTACAAATACTAAACTTTGCTTGTTGACGTCAGTATTTCAGTCTATGTTTATTCGCACACATTATTGCATTTCTAAGATTAACATAAATTTCAGGATGAACCCCTTCGGTCCCTCCAATTTTTAGGAAACAACAACTTACTCCATGTGCAGTCACTTTCTTGTGTTCCTGATCCAGAGGCTACCTCTTTGTCAGCTGGACATGCCGTGCAGGTAGAAGCTGCGTTTGCTGCTAAACTCCATTGATCTGCCGGACAGGCTTGACAGCCACTTGACTGATCCAGATACTGGCCCGCAACACAATCTTCTGCAAGTATAGTCGAGTTTAGTCAAGTATTATAGACTGCAAGTTTCAGCCGCTGGCAAGCAGCTTAAGATTCGAAGTACCCTTTTAGGGATGGTTCGCTTTTATTTGAATATTGGATAAGTGTCAAAGTGTGTGCGGGTGGTGTTCACATACAATAGTTGCATTTCATTCACAGGAATTCCTTTCGAGCATCTGTGATGGGACCTCATAAACGTATAGTAATACCAATTATTGTACAAATACTAAACTTTGCTTGTTGACGTCAGTATTTCAGTCTATGTTTATTCGCACACATTATTGCATTTCTAAGATTAACATAAATTTCAGGATGAACCCCTTCGGTCCCTCCAATTTTTAGGAAACAACAACTTACTCCATGTGCAGTCACTTTCTTGTGTTCCTGCTCCAGAGGCTACCTCTTTGTCAGCTGGACATGCCGTGCAGGTAGAAGCTGCGTTTGCTGCAGAACTCCATTGATCTGCCGGACAGGCTTGACAGCCACTTGACTGATCCAGATACTGGCCCGCAACACAATCTTCTGCAAGTATAGTCGAGTTTAGTCAAGTATTAGACTGCAAGTTTCAGCCGCTGGCAAGCAGCTTAAGATTCGAAGTACCCTTTTAGGGATGGTTCGCTTTTATTTGAATATTGGATAAGTGTCAAAGTGTGTGCGGGTGGTGTTCACATACAATAGTTGCATTTCATTCACAGGAATTCCTTTCGAGCATCTGTGATGGGACCTCATAAACGTATAGTAATACCAATTATTGTACAAATACTAAACTTTGCTTGTTGACGTCAGTATTTCAGTCTATGTTTATTCGCACACATTATTGCATTTCTAAGATTAACATAAATTTCAGGATGAACCCCTTCGGTCCCTCCAATTTTTAGGAAACAACAACTTACTCCATGTGCAGTCACTTTCTTGTGTTCCTGCTCCAGAGGCTACCTCTTTGTCAGCTGGACATGCAGTGCAGGTAGAAGCTGCGTTTGCTGCAGCACTCCATTGATCTGCCGGACAGGCTTGCACAGCCAGTTGACTGATCCAGATACTGGCCCGCAACACAATCTTCTGCAAGTATAGTCGAGTTTAGTCAAGTATTAGACTGCAAGTTTCAGCCGCTGGCAAGCAGCTTAAGATTCGAAGTACCCTTTTAGGGATGGTTCGCTTTTATTTGAATATTGGATAAGTGTCAAAGTGTGTGCGGGTGGTGTTCACATACAATAGTTGCATTTCATTCACAGGAATTCCTTTCGAGCATCTGTGATGGGACCTCATAAACGTATAGTAATACCAATTATTGTACAAATACTAAACTTTGCTTGTTGACGTCAGTATTTCAGTCTATGTTTATTCGCACACATTATTGCATTTCTAAGATTAACATAAATTTCAGGATGAACCCCTTCGGTCCCTCCAATTTTTAGGAAACAACAACTTACTCCATGTGCAGTCACTTTCTTGTGTTCCTGCTCCAGAGGCTACCTCTTTGTCAGCTGGACATGCCGTGCAGGTAGAAGCTGCGTTTGCTGCAGCACTCCATTGATCTGCCGGACAGGCTTGACAGCCAGTTGACTGATCCAGATACTGGCCCGCAACACAATCTTCTGCAAGTATAGTCGAGTTTAGTCAAGTATTAGACTGCAAGTTTCAGCCGCTGGCAAGCAGCTTAAGATTCGAAGTACCCTTTTAGGGATGGTTCGCTTTTATTTGAATATTGGATAAGTGTCAAAGTGTGTGCGGGTGGTGTTCACATACAATAGTTGCATTTCATTCACAGGAATTCCTTTCGAGCATCTGTGATGGGACCTCATAAACGTATAGTAATACCAATTATTGTACAAATACTAAACTTTGCTTGTTGACGTCAGTATTTCAGTCTATGTTTATTCGCACACATTATTGCATTTCTAAGATTAACATAAATTTCAGGATGAACCCCTTCGGTCCCTCCAATTTTTAGGAAACAACAACTTACTCCATGTGCAGTCACTTTCTTGTGATCCTGCTCCAGTGTCTACCCCTTTGCCAGCAGGACATGCCGTGCAGGTAGAAGCTGTGTTTGCTGCGTCACTCCATTGATCTACCGGACAGGGTCCACAGCCAGTTGTCTGATCCAGAGCCTGGCCCGCAACACAATCTTCTGCAAGTATAGTCGAGTTTAGTCAAGTATTAGTTGCAAGTTTCAGCCGCAGGCAAGCAGCTTAAGATTCGAAGTACCCTTTTAGGGATGGTTCGCTTTTATTTGAATATTGGATAAGTGTCAAAGTGTGTGCGGGTGGTGTTCACATACAATAGTTGCATTTCATTCACAGGAATTCCTTTCGAGCATCTGTGATGGGACCTCATAAACGTATAGTAATACCAATTATTGTACAAATACTAAACTTTGCTTGTTGACGTCAGTATTTCAGTCTATGTTTATTCGCACACATTATTGCATTTCTAAGATTAACATAAATTTCAGGATGAACCCCTTCGGTCCCTCCAATTTTTAGGAAACAACAACTTACTCCATGTGCAGTCACTTTCTTGTGTTCCTGCTCCAGAGGCTACCTCTTTGTCAGCTGGACATGCAGTGCAGGTAGAAGCTGTGTTTGCTGCAGCACTCCATTCATCTGCCGGACAGGCTGCACAGCCAGTTGACTGATCCAGATACTGGCCCGCAACACAATCTTCTGCAAGTATAGTCGAGTTTAGTCAAGTATTAGTTGCAAGTTTCAGCCGCTGGCAAGCAGCTTAAGATTCGAAGTACCCTTTTAGGGATGGTTCGCTTTTATTTGAATATTGGATAAGTGTCAAAGTGTGTGCGGGTGGTGTTCACATACAATAGTTGCATTTCATTCACAGGAATTCCTTTCGAGCATCTGTGATGGGACCTCATAAACGTATAGTAATACCAATTATTGTACAAATACTAAACTTTGCTTGTTGACGTCAGTATTTCAGTCTATGTTTATTCGCACACATTATTGCATTCTAAGATTAACATAAATTTCAGGATGAACCCCTTCGGTCCCTCCAATTTTTAGGAAACAACAACTTACTCCATGTGCAGTCACTTTCTTGTGTTCCTGATCCAGAGGCTACCTCTTTGTCAGCTGGACATGCCGTGCAGGTAGAAGCTGCGTTTGCTGCTAAACTCCATTGATCTGCCGGACAGGCTTGACAGCCACTTGACTGATCCAGATACTGGCCCGCAACACAATCTTCTGCAAGTATAGTCGAGTTTAGTCAAGTATTTATAGAACTGCAAGTTTCAGCCGCTGGCAAGCAGTTTAAGATTCGAAGTACCCTTTTAGGGATGGTTCGCTTTTATTTGAATATTGGATAAGTGTCAAAGTGTGTGCGGGTGGTGTTCACATACAATAGTTGCATTTCATTCACAGGAATTCCTTTCGAGCATCTGTGATGGGACCTCATAAACGTATAGTAATACCAATTATTGTACAAATACTAAACTTTGCTTGTTGACGTCAGTATTTCAGTCTATGTTTATTCGCACACATTATTGCATTTCTAAGATTAACATAAATTTCAGGATGAACCCCTTCGGTCCCTCCAATTTTTAGGAAACAACAACTTACTCCATGTGCAGTCACTTTGTTGTGTTCCTGCTCCAGAGGCTACCCCTTTGCCAGCTGGACAGGCAGTGCAGGTATCAGCTGTGTTTGCTGCAGCACTCCATTCATCTGCCGGACAGGCTGCACAGCCAGTTGACTGATCCAGATACTGGCCCGCAACACAATCTTCTGCAAGTATAGTCGAGTTTAGTCAAGTATTAGTTGCAAGTTTCAGCCGCAGGCAAGCAGCTTAAGATTCGAAGTACCCTTTTAGGGATGGTTCGCTTTTATTTGAATATTGGATAAGTGTCAAAGTGTGTGCGGGTGGTGTTCACATACAATAGTTGCATTTCATTCACAGGAATTCCTTTCGAGCATCTGTGATGGGACCTCATAAACGTATAGTAATACCAATTATTGTACAAATACTAAACTTTGCTTGTTGACGTCAGTATTTCAGTCTATGTTTATTCGCACACATTATTGCATTTCTAAGATTAACATAAATTTCAGGATGAACCCCTTCGGTCCCTCCAATTTTTAGGAAACAACAACTTACTCCATGTGCAATCACTTTGTTGTGTTCCTGCTCAGAGGCTACCCCTTTGCCAGCTGGACAGGCAGTGCAGGTATCAGCTGTGTTTGCTGCAGCACTCCATTCATCTGCCGGACAGGCTGCACAGCCAGTTGACTGACCCAGATACTAACTAACTGGCCCGCAACACAATCTTCTGCAAGTATAGTCGAGTTTAGTCAAGTATTAGTTGCAAGTTTCAGCCGCAGGCAAGCAGCTTAAGATTGGAAGTACCCTTTTAGGGATGGTTCGCTTTTATTTGAATATTGGATAAGCGTCAAAGTGTGTGCGGGTGGTGTTCACATACAATAGTTGCATTTCATTCACAGGAATTCCTTTCGATCATCTGTGATGGGACCTCATAAACGTATATAGTAATACCAAATATACAAATACTAAACTTTGCTTGCTGACATCAGTATTTCAATCTATGTTTATTCGCACACATTATTGCGTTTCTAAGATTAACATAAATTCAGGATGAACCCCTTCGGTCCATTGGCGTAACGTCGCCTGTTGCCCCCCCCCCCCCCCCCCCTCCGTTCCGATGATGAGAAGGGGTATCAGTAAGATTTGGGATATCCTCATTATTCTCTTAACTTGTTGATAAGATAAATTATCTTATTGATAAATAAAATGGCAGTGCCTCAAAATAGAATGCACCCTGAAACGTATTTCGATAGATAGAGGGGGGCCTAGTGTGATAAATAGAACAAGACTGACACTAACAACGCTCTGAGTTGTAAAATATGAAATAGTTTACTGTAAATATGTTCGCTACGATACATGCCCGCTCATGCTGTTATCCTAAATTGTACACAGTTGCATCGCGGGGAAGAAATCATAAAGCAATATTGATATTTAACAAAACCGCTAACAAGTTCATGCGTTATAGATAAAAGGAAACTACAAGCATATAACTGGGAAAAGAAAAGAAGAGAGAGAGAGAGACAGCAAATCCTGTTTGTACGTGAAAAACCGAGGGTATTAGCTGAACGACGTGTGCTCTTGAACGAGCTGATTGCTGGACCAACCAGATGTCGAGCTGGTTTTGCCTGACCAACCGTGAGGCAGAATTTTTGGTCACGTGTTCAGTTTTCACGCTCGACACCACGTGACAATCACCACCATACCGTTTAGCTCAGCTACCATGCCGCTCTGGTCTAGAAAATAGAAATAACCACCATGTTGTCCCCTAAATACTTGTATATTGTTCACTCTAACTGCTTGAGCTCGCTCAGCTGATGCAGCTACCTGTATTGCAATCTCTCTCACTTACTTTCAGCTATGACATTTGGACTATTTCTTTCATTGTTTTCCCCTGGACAGGAAAAGCTGCCTTTTACCGCATCTAATGACCTTGTGCTCTCAGCTAAATGATCCTTAACTACCGTTGTGAAAGTAGATTCTTTGTGGCTCAAGATTTGCTCTCGGAATTGTAAAATCGGAGCCATTAGATCACTCGCCAAGGATTTTTAAGATTTTTACAATAAGTAGCATCATCCAATGTATTTAACTTTCGATGCTGATTCTGAAACATACCTAATGACATAGGGTTAAAACACTTCCCTGAGGAGTTATGAGCAAAAAAATGGTCATGGTTTGGTCACGTGACAGGCTAGTAAAACACGAATTCGATTGTTTTTGGCACGGGTTAGGGTTTATTAAGGGTTAAAACACTTCCCTGAGGAGTTATGAGCAAAAAAAATGGTCATGGTTTGGTCACGTGACAGGCTAGTAAAACACGAATTCGATTGTTTTTGGCACGGGTTAGGGTTTATTAAGGGTTATGTGACCCGACTGCTCCAAGCACCCTGAGTCCGTCGATTGGACACCCGACACAACTGCCAACCAGCTCCCACGAGCCGCCTCTGATGTGGTTAGCTTTGAGGTTATGGACACTTGACATTTTATAACCCAGACCTCGCTATAACGCACCTCGCTATAACGCACCTCGCTATAACGCACCTCGCTATAACGCACCTCGCTATTACGCTATAACGCACCTCGCTATAACGCACCTCGCTATAACGCACCTCGCTATAACGCACCTCGCTATAACGCACCTCGCTATAACGCACCTCGCTATAACGCACCTCGCTATAACGCACCTCGCTATAACGCACCTCGCTATAACGCACCTCGCTATAACGCACCTCGCTATAACGCACCTCGCTATAACGCACCTCGCTATAACGCACCTCGCTATAACGCACCTCGCTATAACGCACCTCGCTATAACGCACCTCGCTATAACGCACCTCGCTATAACGCACCTCGCTAAAACGCACCTCGCTATAACGCACCTCGCTATAACGCACCTCGCTATAACGCACCTCGCTATAACGCACCTCGCTATAACGCACCTCGCTATAACGCACCTCGCTATAACGCACCTCGCTAAAACGCACCTCGCTATAACGCACCTCGCTATAACGCACCTCGCTATAACGCACCTCGCTATAACGCACCTCGCTAAAACGCACCTCGCTATAACGCACCTCGCTATAACGCACCTCGCTATAACGCACCTCGCTACAACGCACCTCGCTACAACGCACCTCGCTACAACGCACCTCGCTACAACGCACCTCGCTACAACGCACCTCGCTACAACGCACCTCGCTACAACGCACCTCGCTACAACGCACCTCGCTACAACCGCACCTCGCTACAACGCACCTCGCTACAACGCACCTCGCTATAACGCACCTCGTTATAACGCACCTCGCTATAACGCACCTCGCTATAACGCACCTCGCTATAACGCACCTCGCTATAACGCACCTCGCTATAACGCACCTCGCTATAACGCACCTCGCTATAACGCACCTCGCTATAACGCACCTCGCTATAACGCACCTCGCTATAACGCACCTCGCTATAACGCACCTCGCTATAAC